TCAAGAAAGCATCACACTATTTTGTGATAGTCAGAGTGCTATCCAATTAGCAAAGAACCAAGTTTATCATGCAAGGACGAAGCACATTGATGTTCGATATCACTTTGTACGAGATATTATAGAAGGAGGTGGAGTGATGGTACAGAAAATTCAGACTACAGACAACCCCGCCGATATGCTAACAAAAGTAGTGACTGCGATCAAGTTTCAACATTGTTTGAACTTGATCAACATTGTTGAACTTTGAAGATTGAAGTTGAAGACACAATCAAAATTTATCAGTGAGAGAAAATTTAAAAAAAAAATAGAATCTTGCCAAGGTGGAGATTTGTTGAATTTGACAAGATTAATGTGAACTAGTATGAACATTTGAAGCCTCCTTTTAGGAAGAAATTGGTAGATGCATTTTTCATGCATTTACATTGTATGATCACACTTAATATGATGTCATGCATGACATTATTAAGGCCATTTCCCTTTTGATAAATAGCAAGAGTTTTGTTCCTTTGTAAACATCTCTCACTTGCCTTGTTATCTCCTAAGGCATTAGAATCTTCTTTTTCTCTTATAGTATTTTACTTGTATTTTTGGAGTGAAATAAATTTGAGTTGATTTTGTCCGAGGACTAGACAAAAATCAAATTTTGCCGAACCTCGTTAATTTCTGGTGTTCTTTTTATTATTGTCTCATTTACTATTTATTAGCTACCTTTAGATATAGTAGTTATGATTTAATCACTCTCTATATATTCGTCTTCCGCAACAGCTTACCCATGAAAGAAACTTGAAGCCGCTAGAAGTGGAAACGGACTCGGTGGAAGTAATACAGCTGGTTCAAAATAATTATCCTACATATAACTCAATTTTTCATTCTTGCAGTTGCGGGTGGTTAATTAGCAAACGGACGGGTCGGATATGAACGGGTCGAAACGAATAATTCAAAAACGGATAAATTATCCGACCCGACCCGTATTGAGACGGATAACAAAATGGGTTATCCGGCGGATAATATGGATATCCATATTATCCATGACTTCTTAAATATGATCATTTATGGGAGAATTCTACTCTCGCAAACTTGAGGAACCCCCAATTTGAGGCTTTACAAATATAAAAGTTAAACATATTAGTTATCCATTGATTATCCATTTGGTTAACCATTTTCTAAGTGGATAATATGGTTCTTATCCATATTCGACCCGTTTTTAAAAAGTTCATTATCCAACCCATTTTTTAATGAATAATATGGGTGGATAACTGTTTTCTTTTAATCATTTTGTCACATCTAGACTTTCTGGTAAAGATCTAGGACATCAGGCATCATTTTCGCAAAGCAAATTCAGTAGCTCATCTTTTGGCAACAAAAAGTAAGTACCAAGCTGGAATATTTCAACACTCAAATGAAACTTTCTAATGCCTCTCGTTTTGTTGCTGCCAACCTTCTAGCAGATAAAGGGGGTCCTCTTTTACTAGAACTATTTCATAGAGTTCATGTAATAAATTAGCTAGTACCTCTGCTTTTTCAAATAGTTCCTTTTAACTCTACAAATTATGGATTTGATCCCAATGGGACTTCCATGATAGAACAATGTAATGCTACTTAGTTTATATTAATAAAGTCTCCCCGTTGACATATATATATATATATATATATATATATATATATNTTAATCACCACGTATATGGACACTTTCAATTCCGAGGAAATATTTTTCAAGCTACATTGTGCTTATAAAGTATTCAAACCCTTCCTCTATTCTTTTTCTGTTCTTTCTCCACTTCTTCCTTTAATTGATTCTTCATCTTACAAATAATTCAAGAACTGTACGAGGAATTATAACGGTAAGAAATTAAACGGTAACGACTTTGAACTTTAAAGTAGCCAGATGCAAGAAATTAAAGGGTAACAACTCTTGAGAGAAATACTGAATTTTCTAACGTTGAAAAAAACAAACGTATACTTAAGGTAGCCAAGGTCCAAGGAAGATGTCCAACGTTCTTCGTAAACTGAGGACTACTCTTGTGTTGGAGGCAATGAGTTGCATATTAAGACCTCTTCGTGAATTTATATGTCCAAAAATCTCAATTTGATTTTATCAGTGAATTTGTTCTTTTGTTTTTGTTCATACAAAATCTTAGGTTTCTGATAAAATTTAAGAATATTTTTTTTTTCAAAAATCTTTTATTTTTAATGTTGTAATATAGAAAAAGATTATTTCCTAAATTCAATAAAATATTTTACGACCGTGCAAAGTGCAATTAAACTTACTAGTTCCTATCTAATGAGGGAGCCTGCTAGATCAAAACGTCTCAGAAAGAAACACTAGCGTTGACATTTAAGATATAGACAAACCTTGGATACTTATTCTAGAACTAGAAGGAGTCAATATATTCTGAGATTATATAAATTTTTCATTTTTACCCTAAATGATCTTATAATTATAAAAATATCATCTCATGCTTAAAATAAAAAAAATATACTTTGTGAAAGATATCTTTAATGAGTCAAAGCAAACATTGAACCACAGTAAAATCTATTCTTTATTTGGAGAATGGGCAAGGCTCTTTCTCCTGCCTTTGAGGTGGGAATTCAACTCCAGCCTAAGCAAGACAAACAGGAAAGAAATACTGTTGTTTCTTTGCAGAAATAGGGTCTGTGTGAACACTTTATGTTATTTTAGGCTTCTCCACATTCCAAGTTTCCAACACTAAATAAGAAAGAGCTAATTGAACCACAATAACTAAAAGGACATTTAATTGAGTGTACTGGTATGTCAATGGCTTTCCATATATCTCGACGGTTTTCACTCTTTAAGAGTCCTACGAAAATAAAATGCAGCAGAAGTTCTTCAAAATGTAGTTTTTGCATTTCATGCATAGTTTGTCAAGATGTTGCCATGGTATTGCGTATTTCTTTCATTCCTCTAAGTTGACAAAACTGTCTCTATCTTTCCAACTTAGGGGAAGTTTCATGTCCAGTATAATATTAGAGGGATGAAAATAATTCTAGCTGTATACTTGAGGGATTATCTTGATATGTTATGTTCGTAAGACTAGAAGAATAAGAAAATGGGTGTCTTGTCCCTTTTTTTTTTACAACGGGCAATCATTAAATTCAATAAGGATCTTGCTGATGTATTTTTTCCATTATGAATGCCAAAGCCAGACAACACAAATAAAGAATTCCTATCTAATGAGGGAGCCTGAGAGATCTGACTATCCAGTCAAACAAAGCAAGAGAGTTGACATTTAATATATAAACAACTAAACAAACCTCTATGCAGCTTTGACTGCAATTCTTGATTTGTACTTGTTCTAGAATGAGTCGAGGAAATATGCCTCATGAGGTATAAAATCTCTGTTGGGATTTGAATCTTGATCTCTGCTGTATTTCATCTCACTTCATTGACCACTAGATGCCGAGTGTCTTGTCATTTATGCAGCCGCAATCATTAATTCCAATAGCATCGTGCTGAAGTATTTCTCCATTTTGAATGTCAAAGATAGAATAAACAATTGAAGGAATTCCAATCAAATGGGGGAGCCTGTATGATCGTCAGTCAGAAAGAAACAATAGAGTTGACATTTAAGATATAGACAAACCTCCGTGGACCTTTGACTGCAAATTTTTAAGCTGCTTCAAGATTTGACAATCAATGACGTTGTACTTGAGGATCTCATTACTTGTTCTAGAAGGAGTCAAGGAGATGTGCTGAGACTCTGAGGTATAAATCTTGTTCCTGGCCCAGTCTGAATTGCTTGTACATTCCCCTACTTTCATTTGATGCAATATACTCTATAGAGGTAACAATGAATCTTATTACATTATTTGTTGATCTGAAAATGTATCATTCTTTGTAGTTTTAAGTAAAATATTCAATTTTTGCAGATGGGCTGCCTATTTCTTGTCCTGGTTTTTGTGTTACAATATCCAATTATTGTTCTTTCAAGTGTTTTGTGCAGCCAAGACCAGAGCTTGGCTTTGCAGCAATTGAAGCTTAAACTGACCATAGATGAATCTTCTTCTTCTGATTGTGAATCCAATGGTCACCTTCCCTACCCAAAGACAATTTCCTGGAATAAAAGCACTGATTGCTGTACCTGGGATGGAGTAACGTGTGATAGAATTACAGGTCAAATAACTGGGCTTGATCTTAGTTGCAGCCAACTTCATGGGACAATTGATTCCAACAGCACCCTCTTCCAACTTTCTCATCTGCTAAAGCTTAATTTAGCATACAATGATTTCTCCCCTTCCCAAATTTCAAGCAAATTTGGCTGGTTTCCAAGTTTGGCACATCTTAATCTCTCGCATTCAGGCTTTTCAGGCAAAATCCCTTCAGAAGTATCATACCTATCTAAGTTGATTTCACTTGATCTTTCCGCAGGTCTTGAGGAGTTGAGATTTGGACCTCACACTTTCAAATTGCTCCTTCAAAACTTAACCCAACTAAAAGAGCTTCACCTCACCTCTACATACATCTCTTCAGCACTGCCATCAAACTTCTCCTCTTCCTTGGAAGTCCTGAATCTTCTTAGCACCGAATTGTCTGGGAAAGTCCCAGATCACATTTTTCATTTACGAAGATTGCAAATCCTTAACCTAGGGAGCAACTTGTATCTCAAAGGGCATTTGCCAAAAATGCAATGGAACAGTAGCAGCTCTTTAAAGGAGTTAGATCTTTCTTCATCAGGCTTTTTCGGGAATGTACCAGATGCTATTGGTCATCTCAGCTCTTTAAGTTTCCTAGATTTCTCAAGTTGCTACTTCTCTGGAACCATTCCTCAATCTATAGGGAATCTAACAAAGCTCAATAATTTGCGCCTCTTCTCGAACAACTTCAATGGTTCACTGCCATCAACAATCTCAAATCTGGTGCAACTTGTTGAATTTGATATTTCATCTAACAACTTTAGTGGTGATATTCCAAATATTTTCAGTAACTTCACCAAGCTCAAATCTTTATCCCTTGCAGATAACTTGTTCACAGGGTTGTTTCCATCCTCAGTTACAAACCTAACAAAGCTGGAGAGTTTAATACTCTCTAATTGTTCAATTGCTGGTCCTATTCCTTCTATCGCCACTGGATTCCCAAACCTCATTTTGCTCTTCCTATCAGATAACTTGCTTACTGGGGAAATACCATCTTGGATATTTGATCTTCCTTCCTTAAAATTCTTACAGATGAGAGCCAATCATCTTACTGGTCAACTTAAGGAATTTGGATACAACTTGCTAGAAGTTCTTGATGTTGGTGACAATAAGCTGCATGGACCTATCCCAAGATCATTCTCCAAACTTGTGAACTTGACAACACTAGATCTTTCTACGAACAACCTTTCTGGTGGTCTAGACATTGGTATGTTTTCAAACTGCAAACAACTTAGACGTCTTGGTCTTTCTTTTAACAATCTGTCGGTGTTTTCCAGCCACAAACATATGGCCTTGCCGAGTTCTATTGGAAGATTGTATGCATCTTCCTGCAATATAAGGGAATTAAATTTCTTACAAGCTGCAACGAGAATTGGTCAATTAGATCTTTCCAACAACAAGATCTATGGCAAAATTCCTGATTGGGCGTGGTCTGATTGGCAAAGCTCATTGTTTTATCTGAATCTTTCAAGCAATTTTCTAACTGCTATTGACCCACTTCATGACTTTGAAAATCTTGTTTATCTTGATCTTGGATCGAACTTGATTCAAGGAGAAGTACCTGCTCCACCTCCCTATATGTTCATCTTCATAGTGTCAAACAACAACTTCTCTGGGAAATTACCTTCACCACTATGCAAAATGAGTTCCCTAATGATTCTTGATTTGTCCAATAACAGCCTGACTGGAGTTATTCCAAAATGTTTAGTAAACATGAGCAGAAATCTCTCAGTGTTGGACCTGCATGACAATCAATTTCATGGGACACTTCCAAAAAATTTTGGTAAGGGAAGTAGTCTAAGAAGTCTCAATCTGCGGAAAAATAAACTAGAAGGAACATTGCCATGAACCCTGGCCAATTGCAGAGCGCTGGAGGTACTTGATCTTGGAGAAAATTCCTTGAATGATACATTTCCCAAATGGCTGGGAACACTTCCTAGGCTACAGATTCTAAGTTTGAGATCCAATAGGTTACATGGCCCCGTTACCACTTCTATAAACCAAGTTTTGTTCTCTAAGTTGAAAATCCTTGATCTCTCTTATAATGACTTCACTGGAAATTTAACAGAAAGGTTTTTCAGGAATTTGAAAGCCATGACGATTGTAGATCCAAGGGGAACTCCCCTAACGTATATTGGAGAATATCTATACCATGATTCCCTGACAGTGGCTATAAAAGGGCAGCAGCTCCAACTTGTGAGGATTCTTTCTATTTTCACAACCATTGATTTCTCACATAACAAATTTGAAGGTGATATACCAAAATCCATTGGCAATCTTGGTTCACTTCGAGGATTGAATTTGTCCCATAACAGCCTTATGGGTCCTATTCCTCAGTCCTTTGAGAATTTATCTGTTCTTGAGTCATTAGACCTGTCATCAAATCAACTCTCGGGGAAGATTCCTCAAGAACTTGCGACTCTGAAATTTCTTGCTGTCATGAATCTCTCAAAGAACCACCTGGTCGGACACATACCTAGAGGTCAACAGTTCGATACATTTGAAAATGATTCATATTTAGGAAATGCTGGATTATGTGGATTTCCCTTGTCTAGGAGCTGTGCAGATAGTGGGATGCCGCAACAACCTCCTTCATTTGAGGCCGATGAAGAAGAAGATGATCGAGGTTTTATGGATTGGAGAGCAGTGGTAATTGGATATGGTTGTGGAATGGTATTTGGATTATTTATGGGATATGTCATTTTCTTAACAGGGAGACCTAAATGGTTTGTGAGAATTGTCAACGAAGAAGGATACAGGATGGTTAAGAAAATTGAAGCAAAGAGAAGACGTCTGAAAAGAAGACGATGAAGTAATAGAAAAGTCTGTATAGTTCATGCATAATTGCCTTCTTTTTTTTTTGTATTTTTCTGGTAGAATTTGATAATTGAACAATTCTAAAACACCATCAATATAGAATCTATTACTGACAAAGATGAATAGAGCTTTTCATACATGTATTTGGGTTGCAGTTAGTGAGGTTAATTTTACTTGTGCTCTTCATACTAATTTTCTTCGACTGAAACTTGAATGATCTATTTTAAATATCTGTTAACTTTTGTTATTATCTTGTTAACTTTTTTTGAATCAAATTTAATGTGTCTGACAGATAAAGTTATCTTTTCTTTATTAAATCAGGAGTATCCAAGAGTAGGTTGAGATATACCTGAAGATAAATCCCTTTGCATATGAATATGTAGTAAATTAAAGCTGAGATTTGGTGTATAAGATGAACAATCATCTTTTTGTTAAGAAAAGGAGAAAAGTACATGACGTTTCTTCAAGAATTCAAGTATAAATGAACATAAAGAACAAAATGAAGCTTGAACATAGTTACATACTAGTAATTCCTGCCTCGCCCCACCCTGTTTGCCATCCCTGCTCAAAGGCAAAGTTCGGGTTTGAAAGAAAAACACCATTTGTTATCAGATCTCATCAGAAGCTTAGCAGCATAGGTCCATTCCATTTGAGTAAACGAGCATGAGCTACCATTTATACTAGTACAGACTATCATCCGAGGTATCTCTGCATGTTACAAGCAAGATCTTATACAATAAATATTTAAATTTAGGGGGCTCAGCTTAATATGATCATTACAACTCCTATAAGCTTGAAAAAGTATTTATTATCACATTTTGCATCAGCAATGGAATCTTGAGCAATTTATATCCAAAACGTTTTTATGGTGAATTACTAGGATAGTTGAAACTCACTCATGCATCACAGACATGTTAACAAAACATTATTCATCAAAATATTGAGAATGAAGCGAAGAAGTCTGATTAAAAAGCCTGACCACATGAGGTCTCTCTCTATGATAGCTTCAGTTGGCAGTTGTTGGTGCCTGAGATATAAGTGAATGCCATGTTATGTCGAGGAAGAGGCAAATCCGAAAATAAAGAAGATAAAGAACACCAAATTTTAACGTGGAAAACCCTTCAAATCGAAGGTAAAAACCACGGGATCACAAAGATCCAAAAAACTCCACTATAATAATAAGAGGGTTACAAAAGTTCTCCAAATTGGCTACACAACAAGTGTCAAACACGGAGCAACAATAGCAACAAGAGCAACAATAAATCAATTGAAGAAAGAGGAGAATCCACAAAAATGAAGCTGCTACTCGAGGCTCGAAATCAGATACTACGGGCCTCCAAATCTGATCTTCACCGTTCCAATCAAAGACCAAGATGTTACGAACACTCAGTCAAACTTTCAGTCCGATCAAACAGTTAACGAATCAGAAAACGTGATTTGAAGTTGGCTGGTCGGAATTAAAATCTGCAGCAAAACGAATACTTTTCTTCTCTCTTCTCTCTTGATGAAGGCTCTCTCAAAAACCACTCTTATGTGCTTAAGTCTTTCAAAGGCTTGTACCAATGAGCATAGAATAATTCTCCAAGGTTGTCCTATTTATAGATAATGAGTGGTGTTTTCTCTTAAAGCAAAACCAACTCTAAATAGGAATAAAAACCGAATCCAATTTCAAATAGGAATGGAAACCAAAAGAGAATAGGATTAGGCCATTGGGCCTTTGGCTGGACAACATGGGCATGTGCCCAACAAACTCCCCCTCCAGCCAAGGGGCCAAATGTGTCTTCAAGTAGAGGAACTATTGACATGCTTCATGCCTGCCAATTTTCTGCAAAATTCATGTTTATCTGCAACCACCGCCTTTGTCATCATATCCGAAGGATTTTCATCAGTGTGTATCTTCTCAACCTCGAAGAATTTCTCTTCCACAGCCATTCTTATCTAATGATACTTTCTATTTATATGTTTGGTCTTAGAATGAAAAGTGAAGTGCTTGGTGAGACAGATAGCACTCTGATTATCACAAAATAAGATGTACCTTGGCTGCTCAAAGCCAAGATCATTAATATACTCCTCCATCCATAATAGTTCTTTGGCACCTTCTGTGACAGCAATATATTCGGCTTCTGTGGTGGATAGAGCTATGCATTTCTGTAGTCTAGATTGCCAAGAAACAACTCCCCCTGCAAAAGTGATCAGATAACCGGAAGCGAATCTTGAATTATCAAGATTGCCTCCTAAATCAGAGTCTGTGTAACAAACAAGTTCAGGCTTGCCATTGCCAAAGCACAGCTTCAAATCTGCAGTACCTTTCAAATACCTTAATATCCATTTTACTGCATCCCAATGTTCTTTTCCAGGATTAGAAAGGAATCTACTAACAGTACCAACGGCATGTGCAATATCTGGTCTAGTGCAAACCAAAGAATACATCAAGCTACCAACGGCAGAAGAGTAAGGAATACGAGACATCTCCTTTTTCTCTTCATCAGTAGATGGACTCTGACTAATACTTAATTTGAAGTGTTTAGCAAGAGGAGTACTAACCACTTTTGCATCTGTCATATTGAACCTCTTGAGTACCTTCTCAATGTATTGCTTTTGGGATAAAAATAACTCCTTTCTATCTCTGTATCGTTGGATTTGAATGCCCAAGATTTTCTTTGCTAGCCCCAAGTCCTTCATCGAAAATGATTTGCTCAACTGCTTCTTAAGGACTGCAATTCTGGATTTATTCTTGCCAACAATAAGCATATCATCCACATAAAGCAATAAGATAATAAAATCATCATCAGCGAACTTCTGAAAGAATACACAATGGTCTGACGAAGTTTTCTTATACCCTTGTTCTTCTATGACAGATTCAAATTTCAAATATCATTGCCTTGGAGCTTGTTTCAATCCATACAGGCTCTTTTTCAATTTGCAAACATAATTTTCTTTTCCCTTAGTTACAAAACCCTCAGGTTGCTCCATATAAATCTCCTCATCTAAATCACCATGAAGAAAAGCAGTCTTGACATCCATCTGCTCAACCTCTAAATCTAGACTTCCGGCTAAGCCTAGAACCACACGAATAGAAGACATCTTCACAACAGGGGAGAAAATTTCATCAAAGTCAACTCCCTTCTTCTGGCCAAAACCTTTAACAACTAACCTCGCCTTGTATCTAGGCACAGAGGTATGGTTATCTTGCTTTATTCTGAATATCCATTTGTTAGATAAAGCTCTCTTACCTTTCGGCAATTTCACTAACTCATATGTGCCATTCTCATGGAGTGACTTCATCTCATCTTCCATGGCTTCGATCCACTGATCTTTGTGAGTATCTTGCATGGCTTCATCATAATTCTCAGGTTCTCCCATGTCAGTCAAAAGTACATACTCATCAGGAGGATAGCGCATGGATTTTTGTTTCTCCCTTGTAGATCTTCTAATAGAGGTTTCAGGAGCATTCGAAGTAGTTACCTGAGCAGGAATTGGTTGTTGATCAACCATAACTTCATCAACTGGAGCATCCATAACATCTACACCATGATGATCATTTTGATCTTGACCACTATCTTCATTATTGTCTTGGGTTCCTTCATGTGCAATAGGTGCCTTAGCAATAGAAACTGGATCAATATCAACTAAGCTCTCATTACTCTAAGAATCCATCTTCTCATCTTTGTCAATATCTTCAATAGTCTGGTCTTCAAAGAATATGGCATCACGACTTCTAATAAGTTTACTGTCAACTGAATCGTAAAAATGATATCCAAACTCATCTTGACCATAACCGATAAAGATGCACTCCTTAGTTTTCACATCCAGTTTCGATCTCTCATCTTTAGGAACATGCACACAAGCTTTACACCCAAAAACTCTCAGGAGATCATAAGAAACATCTTTGGCAAATCAAACTCTGTCTGGGACATCACCATCTAAAGCAACAGCAGGAGACAAATTGATAACATAGGTAACAGTGTTAAGTGATTTCGCCCAAAATGTATTTGGAAGTTTAGCTTCTGAAAGCAAGCATCTAACTCTCTCAACTAGAGTTCTATTCATCCTTTCTGCCAAACCATTCAATTGAGGCGTCTTGGGCGGAGTTTTCTGATGACGAATTCCTTGTTACTTGCAATAGTTATCAAAGGGACCACAATATTCACCACCATTGTCAGTGCGAATACATTTTAATTTCTTTCCCGTCTGTCTCTCAGCTAAGGCCTGAAATTCCTTAAATACGCCAAGTGCTTGATCGTTAGATTTCAAAGGATACACCCAGAGCTTACGAGAATGATCATCAATGAATGTCACAAAGTAAAGTGCACCAACTTTTGACTTTACTTTAAAAGGACCACACAAATCAGAGTGCACTAGCTCCAATAAATCGGGCTTTCTTGAGGGAGGATGGCTATGATAGGAAACCCTTTTCTGTTTGCCAGCTAAACAATGGATACACCTTTTTAGCTTTGCTTGTTTCACTCCAGAAAGCAAACTTTTCTTAGCCAAACACGTAATCCCCTCCCCTCTCGCTCATATGACTCAATCTTCTGTGCCACAATTCTGATAAAGTGTCACTTTCCACCAGATTTATAGAGTCATTAATAATAGAGCCCTATGTCACATATAAATGACCAGACTTGACTCCTCGAGCCACTACTAACAAGCCCTTGGTGAGCTTCCATTGGCCATTAGAGAGGGCATTATGATAACCTTCATCGTCTAATCTTCCTGCGGAGATCAAATTGAAAGGAAAGTCTGGAGCATGCTTGACATCTTGAAGAACTAACGTTGAACCATTATTAGTTTTCAAATAAACTGTACCAACACCAAACACCTTAACTTCACTGGCATTGCCCATCTTTAACACTCCAGAATCAACAGGAGTATAAGATGAGAAAAATTCTTTTCTTGGTGTGACATGTGAGGTAGCTCCAGAATCTACTATCCAGCTCGTATTATGGGATACCAAATTGATGACATTTTCATCATAAGCAAAAAGAAGGTCA